AATTTTTTTTTGTCACATTTTTTTTAGTAAGCCACAGCAGTTCTCAGGACTTACCTATAGTCTTCTGTTGACTGTTAAACCTGTTTTCCTGCAGGTGTTTAGGTAAAAGAAGGAAGTTCATTGAACTTATTTTTTTAAACAAACACCCAAGAACATTTGGAATTGCACAAATGAAAAGTAAGGTGAACCAGTGGCTCTTTTGTGTTCTTAAAGCACATTTTAAGTGAACTCTGCACTGTGGTGTGAACCTGCGATAATTTGGATTACATTTAGAGAATTCACATATAAGAAAAAATTCTGCTGCATGCAAGTAATAGCACTACAGAACCAGCTATACTTTCATCTGATTCCCAAAATATAATCACGTTACATGCTTCTGTTACTGCCAATGAGCATTTCATGTCCGAGGCAGTGGCTGGTGGTCAGGATGCATTTGAAAAGCATCACAAAACTGTGTTTACATGTTGAACTTCACTGAAAACTGGGGGAGAAGATATTATATGGCTGGGGTCCTCAACTCTGGACCCCACGTTGTATGCTTCACTCTTAAAAATCAAGGTTCTTTATTGGCATTGATGGTTCAGTGAAGAATCTTTAACATCCAAGGAATCTTTGCATTAGTTTTAGATTATTCAAATATTCTTCACACTTAAAAAATGGTTCTTTTAAGAAATTATTACTGAAAGGTTCTTTTGGGAACCAAAAATGGTTCTTCTATGACATTGCTGTGAAAACAAAAACAACTTTTGGAACCTTATTTTTTAAGTGTTGCTCATAATACAGATTGCATCGTTTGTCATCAATATACCATTGTTTATTCACATCATAACTCTTGAGTCTCAAACTGTAATAATAGTGTGACCTGAGCCTCATAGGAGGTAAATGTTACAACACATCTGCCAGAATCTATGTGGATGTGGTGGAGCCATGTGATGCCATCTGCAAGATATGAACAACTGCCTTTTGAGACTCAGAGGCCCTGTTTACCCCTGTGATTAAGATCATCATCACAAACGGACCACATTAAATACAGGTGTAAATGGGGTCTAAAAGTTTGTCTAAAAATGGGGTTTTAAGCTTGTCTGCTTTTGACCACTTCCAGAGGTTGTAGACGCTCATGTGGTTAAATGTGTTTAAATGGCGACAAAAGACCACCTACTCATGAGCATTATGCATTACGATGTTGTTTTAAAGAAGTGTAACAACCTTGATTCAAACCTCTCTATGTTGTGCCACAGATTATGATCATCTTATTTCATTCAAATTTTTTTTTCATTTCATTGCAGTGAATTGCTTTGAGCATTGAGTTTACAGTGAAGCGTACTATAGGGTTTGGAGCAAATGGATGATTTGATAGTTTTATGTATAGACAATCAAAGTATCGGTGTTAGTGTCAACATGTGTTCTCAACTGCTGTCCACACTTAAATGACCTAGTTACATTGTGCAACAACCCTGCAGAGTCCACAATCTCTCAATGTCAATAAGGCAAAACAGATAACTGTTGACTACTGGACGTTCCTGCTGCTATCTACTGTCAACGTGTGTGTGTGTGAAAATACTCAGAAACATCACGTTTTGGGAGTTTATGCCACAGAAAATCTCTCCCAGAATTTAGAAATGCCCTTCTTGATGAAGAAGACTCAACAACATCACTTAAATGGATAGTTCACCCAAATGTTCACCCATATGAAAATTTGCTGTTAATTTACTCATCCTCAAGCCATCCAAGATGTAGGTGACTTTGTCTTCAGTAGAACAGTAAAGAAGATTTTTAGCTGAAACTGCAGTCCTTGGTGATTCGTAAAGTGAGAGTCAGTGGCTACCAACATTTTGAGAGTCAAAAAAGCATATACAGGCAACACAAAATTAATACCCATGGCTCCTGACGATATACTGAGGTCTTATGAAGAGAAACGATCAGTCTGTGCAAGAAACTGAACATTATTCACAACATTAATACTTGTAATGCAGAGCCTCAGGCAAACAGGGAGATCCGATTCTTTTCCACGAACCAGTCCTTTCGGACAGTTCATTTCAGTAAACTGGTTAGTTTTTTTTTTACATAATCACACAATTAAGTAATGTATACGCAATTATATTATTAAAGCACCCAATAATAATGTGAAACGTTGATATTTTACATGTCTAAAGCATATAAAGTGAATAAACTAGTCTTAATCAACTTTTTCATAAACAATGAGAAACCACAAAAACGTTCATTTGGCCCTTCATTCAAGCTCAGCGGCTCATCAGTCTTCAGTCCGAGTCGAACTGCTTCCTCAGTTCAGTGACTGCTGGAGGAACTGGAGTGCTGAATCAGTTCATTCATCACAGGATCAGATACGCCGCTATTTCAGCTCATTTCCAGTCAGAGTGACTGTCAGGCGTCTGAAAGTGAGTTTTGATGGAGTAACTTGTAGAGCTGTGCTGCTCGAGACACGAACTGATTCAGACGCTTCAGTCAGATTTGATGAACTGGTTCAACTAGTTCACCAAAAAGAACCGGTTCAAAAGAATGATTCGTTCGTGAACCGGACATCACTCTGGACCGTTTGTCTGAGGCTCTGGATTACAGGTAATAATGTAGTAAATAATGTTCAGTTTCTTGCACAGACTGATCGTTTCTCTTCACAAGACCTCAATATATCGTCAGTAGCCACAGGTATTCATTTTGTGTTCCTTGACATGATTTGGTGATGAATGAATGAATGAATGGTTTCAACAAAAAAATAGTTGTTACTGTTCTATACTGAAGAAAAAAGTCCCCTATCTTGGATGGCCCGAGTGAGAAAATTAACAGAAAATTTTCATTTTTGGGTGAACTATCCCTTTAACACATGCAAAGTTGCACTGCATTGAAACCAATCACTTTCAGATCTGCTTCCATTCTGGTGTATAACACACACTTTCTACAGTCCAATCAGCAACTGAAGTCCCAGACAATGTTTTTTGTTTGAAAAGACATTTCACTTAGAAATGTGTCACAAATCATAGTAAAGTCAGTCACAACTTTGCAACTGAAGCTGCTTTTAAACAATATGTATTGTGAAAAGCGCTATACAAGAAAGAGTTTTGTGTCTCCAGGTCACATACAGTATAAGAGGTCCTGTTAGATGTTGACTGTCTCAATGTCTCTCTCATCAGAGTCAAGAGCCCCCTGCTGTCACCCAGTCTGCGCCATCGGCTACAATGAGTGCCAAATCGGCCCTCAACAAGGCGATCTTTATTCCCAACGATGAGAGGCTGCTGGCAGCCGTGCAGGTGAAGAGGAGGACGAAGAAAAAGATCCCGTTTTTAGCTACAGGAGGCCCTGGTGACTACACCACATTCATTTGCTTATCAGGTAAAGTCTTCCCTCATTAGTGCTGTTTCACCATCACTGCTGCTCATGTTTAGGGTTAGTGATTTGATAAAATTCCCAGCACTAAATATTAAACTGTGGCTTGTAAGTTCTCCAACACCTTTGAGCTACAGGCATGAATGATTCCTCAAATCATGTTTAATCATAATTGGTACTTGATACTAGGCTTGCCGCGATAGACGGTGTTGACGGTGATACCGGTGTTAAGCCTTTGTGTCATTTATGTTTTATATATAGACTAAAGTGAGTTTGACGTTGTATTTTGTTGTTGCATTCAAGCAATTGACGCTGAACTGCCGCTAATTCTAAAGTGAAAGTAAAATGCGCACGCCGCTTTTAAGCTATACAAAAGCGAAGGAAAGCGAGGAAAAGAGGGAAAATTCAAACGAACAGTTGCTTTACTCCGAATTGTCGCTATTTGAAAGTGAAAGTAAAATGCGCATGCCGCTTTTACAAGCTATTTAAAAGCGAAGGAAAGCGAGGAAAAGAGGGAACGCCCCCGCGGTGATACCGGTATTACCGGTGTTGTCACACGTCGATTAACCGGTGGGAAAATTTCCTCACCGTCACAACCCTACTTGATACTTGAATTTAGGGTTGCATGGGGCTTTTAGTATAATGGAGATACTTTACATTTTTGTATTAATTTTTTGTATTAGTTTTTGTATTTACATTTTCTGTTATTATTTTAGTTCTAGTTTTAGTATTTTTGTTGTGAGTTTTTCTTTATACTTTTTAATTTTTATTTTGCAGTTTTGGTTATTTTAGTACATCAGGTTAAACTATATGAAAATGAGAAATCTTGCCTTTGGCAACTGGACAGTGTTTTTTTTTTGTATGTTTTATTTGATCTCAGTTTCTCAAGTCTCAAGTTTATTTTCATTTTATTATAAGTATAATATTCAAAGCTTTTCTTTGTTATAAGTTTTATTTTCTTTAATTTCTTTATGGATTTGGTTTTAGTGTTAATTAAATTTAATAACCCCATGCACGATTTGAACAAGAATATCTAATAAGAATTGATTGTGGGACTGAACAATTTGACAAAAAAATGTATGATTATATATTTAATATGATTATGAATTATGTTTATGATTATTATTATTAAATATAAAACTATTAAATACAAAATAAGTAATATTACCTATGTAATATTCACTGTAAAATTTAAAATGGAGTATTTAAAATATAATATTTATTATATACAATATAAGAAATATAATAAATTATACAATATAAGAAATATAATAAATCATAAGAAATACAAAATAATAATAATATTTTTGTAACTGTAAAATTACAATACTAATATTTATGTCTGTCTTAATTTCTTCATTTTCGTTTTTTTCAGTTGTTGATAAGCGCTTCTCATTACAAGTTTGGGAAGATGGTTGGTTCATGTTGCGTTTCCAAATGCATATTAAAGTGACTCAAACTCAGAAGCGGATGCAGAGCTGGAGATCATTTTGGTTTTATTTCGACTGATTGTGCAGCTCTACTTGAATTGACAGAAATGTTCACGCTGGTCTTTTATTTTGATTTTATCGATTTCACATTTACTCATCCGTAAATAGAGATGCACCGATTGCAATTTTCTTGTCCGATTCCTATTTCCGATTTTTTATTTATTTATTTTTTTTGGAAGTGTGACCTGCCGATACTGATTTTTGCTGATTCTGATTTTCTTTCTAAGAACTATAATTGACAGCAAATACAAACAAAACAGATGTCATTTCCCATGTTTATAAATGGTCATTTTCCCCCCTAACCTTATTAAATGTCATCTTTCACATCAAAGTCTTACATTGTTTCAATTAATTCAGTTAGAATAATAAAAAACTGTAGAGTTGTTAACAGTCAAATGAAATCAGTATCAACAAACGCAGAAGCTGCATCTGAAGTGGCATTAGATGTATTTACACAGACTGTTTGATGAAGCTGAGATGAGAAAAAATTGCAAATGTATAAATAATTTTATGAGATTAATGTTTTAAATAATTTTTTGAACATACAAATAAGAAATGTTGGGAAAAATGCAATGATA